TTGTATTTCTGTGGAATCAGTGGTAATGTCCCCTTTATCTTTTTTTATTGCATCTATTTGATTCTTCTGTCTTTTTTATTAATCTGACTAGCAGTCTATTTTGTTGATCTTTTCAAGAAATCAGCTCATGGATTTATTGATTTTTTTGAAAGGTTTTTCTTTTTGTGTGTGTGTGTCTGTCTCCTTCAGTTCTGCTCTGATCTTAGTTATTTCTTGTCTTCTGCTAGGTTTATTGTTTTTTTGACCTTGCTCCTCTAGCTCTTTTAATTTTGATGATAGGGTGTCGATTTTAGATCCTTCCTTGCTTCTCATGTGGGCATATATTGATATAAATTTTCCTCTAGACACTGCTTTAAATGTGTCCCTGAGATTCTGGTATGTTTTGTCTTCATTCTCATTGATTTTGAAGAACATCTTTATTTCTGCCTTCATTTCATTGTTTATCCAGTTGACATTCAGGAGCCAGTTGTTCAGTTTCCATGAAGTTGTGCTGTTCTGAGTTAGTTTCTCAATCCTGAATTCTAATTTGATTGCCCTGTGGTCTGAAAGACTGTTTGTTATGGTTTCTGTTCTTTTGCATTTGCTGAGGAGTGATTTACTTCTAATTATGTGGTCAGTTTTGGAGTAGGTGCAGTGTGGTGCTGAGAAGAATGTATATTCTGTGGTTTTGGGGTGGAGATTTCTGTGGATGTCTATTAGGTCCACTTGGTCCAGATCTGAGGTGGAGTCCTGGATATCCTTGTTGATTTTCTGTCTCGTTGATTTCTCTAATATTGACAGTGGAGTGTTGAAGTCTCCCACTGTTATTGTGTGGGAGTCTAAGTCTCTTTGTAGGTTGTTAAGAACTTGCTTTATGTATCTGGGTGCTCCTGTATCGGGTGCATATATATTTAGAATAGTTAGCTCTTCTTGTTGCATTGATCTTTTTACCATTATGTAATGTCCTTCTTTGTCTCTTTTGATCTTTGTTGGTTTAAAGTCCATTTTATCAGACAGTAGGATTGCAATTCCTGCCTTTTTTTTTTTTTTTTTTCTCTCTGTTTGCTTGATAAATCTTCCTCTATCCCTTTATTTTGAGCCTGTGTGTGTCCTTGCACGTGAGATGGGTTTCCTGAATACAGCACACTGATGGGTCTTTTTTATCCAGTTTGGCAATCTGTGTCTTTTGATTGGGGCATTTAGCCCATTTACATTTAAGGTTAATATTGTTATGTGTGAATTTGATCCTGCCATTTTGATGCTAGCTGGATGTTTTGCCAGTTAGTTGATGCAGTTTATTCATTGTGTTGATGCTCTTTACCATTTGATACATTTTTGGAGTGGCTGGTACTGGTTGTTCCTTTCCTTGTTTCATGAACAAGCTCTTGTAAGGCAGGCCTGGTGGTGACAAAGTCTCTCAGAAATTGCTTGTCTGTAAAGGAATTTATTTCTCCTTCACTTATGAAGCTTAGTTTGGCTGGATATGAAATTCTAGGTTGAAAGTTCTTTTCTTTAAGGACGTTGAATATTGGCCCCCACTCTCTTCTGGCTTGTGGGTTTCTGCTGAGAGATCTGCTGTTGAGTCTGATGGGCTTCCCTTTGTTGGTTACCTGACATTTGTCTCTGGCTGCCCTTGGCACTTTTTCCTTCATTTCAACCCTAGTGAATCTGATGATTATGTGCCTTGGGGTTGCTCTTCTTGAGGAACATCTTTGTGGTGTTCTCTGTATTTCCTGGTCTTGAATGGTGGCCTGCCTTGCTACGTTGGGGAAGTTCTCCTGGATAATATTTTGAAGAGTGTTTTCCAACTTGGATTCATTCTCTCCGTCACATTCAGGTACACCTATGAAACGTAGATTAGGTCTTTTCACATAATCCCATATTTCTTGGAGGCTTCGTTCATTTCTTTTCACTCTTTTTCTTTTTCTCTAATATTGCCTTCTTGTTTTACTTCATTGAGTTGATCTTCAGTCTTTGATATCCTTTCTTCTGCTTGGTCGATTCGGCTTCGCAGAGTTGTTGTGCTGTGTTTTTCAGCTCCATCAAGTCGTTTATATTTTTCTCTAAGCTGTTTATTGTAGTTAGCATTTCATCTAACCTTTTTTTCAGGGTTCTTAGTTTCTTTGCATTAGGTTAGCACATGTTCTTTTAGCTCTGAGAAGTTTGTTATTATCAACCTTCTGAAGCCTGTTTCTGTCCATTCATCAGATTCTTTCTCCATCCAGCTTTGTTTCCTAGCTGTTGAGGAGTTGTGATCCTTGGAGGAGGAGAAGCATTCTGGTTTTCGGTGTTTTCATCCTTTTTGTGCTGGTTTCTTCCCATCTTCATGGCTTTATCTACCTGCGGTTTTTGTAGTTAGTGACTTTCGAATGGGGTTTCTGAGTGGACATCCTTTTTATTGATATTGAAGCTATTTCTTTCTTAGTTTTCCTTCTAACAGTCAGGCCCTTCTGCTGCAGTACTGCTGGAAGTCCACTCCAGACCTTGCTTGCCTGGGGATTTCCCATGGGGGCTGCATAACAGTAAGGGGCTCCTAGTTTCCCCTTCTGTTATCTTCATTCCAGAAGGGTACCTGCCAGATGTCAGCCTGAGCTCTGCTTTATGAAGTATCTCTTTTGATATATGGGGGTCGGGGAGCTGCTTGAGGAGACAGTCTATCCCTTATAGGAGCTCAAGTGCTGTGCTGGGAGCTCCGTTGTTCCATGCAGACCTGCTGGGCAGGTACGTTTAAGTCTGCTGCAGTGGAACTTATAAGTGCCTCTTTTCCCAGGTGCTCTGTCCTAGGAAGGTTGGGCTTTATTTTTAAGTTCCCGATGTGCTGCTGCCTTTTTTCATAGATGCCCTGCCCCACACAGAGATAGTCCAGTCACAGTCTGCCAGCAGAGGTGTTGCTGAGCTGCTGTAGGCTCTGCATGGTTGCTGTGTGAACTGCCTTGAGGTCTTGTTTTTAGCGCTACCATTAGAACTGCCTTGCTATTGGCAGACTGGCTCAGTAATGGTGGATGCCCTTCCCCCACCAAGCTGGACCATCCTGGGTCCACCTGTGCTTGCTGTGAAACTCTCAATCCAGAGCATATCAGATTGTTTATTTTGTAGGGGTGGTACCTGCTGAGCCAGATCACCTGGCTCCCTGTCTCAGCCCCCTCCCTTTCAGTTGAATGGGCGGCTCTGTCTCCCGGGCATTCCAGGCGCCAGTTGAAATAACCGCCCAGATTTGTGTGTGTTTCTGTGCACTGACCTGTGGCTCCGGCTGAAGCAGCCATGCTGGAAACTTGTGACACTTTTCAGCCCTGGGATGTCCTTGTCTGTGGGCAGTGAAAACTCATTTGGAAATGCGGTGATCGCTCGCCCTCTGCATTGTTCTTGTTGAGAACTGCACTCCAGAGCCATTCCTATTCGGCCATCTTTGAGTCATTATCTCTTGACCCGGGTTCAAATTCACCATTGTCTATAAGCTACTGTTAATCCCATCTAAATAACTGATTGCAGACTTTGTATTTTTTCAATTTTGGAATTTCCATGATTGTTTGTTGTTAAATACACTTTTTCTTTGTTGTGATTTTCTACTTGTTTACTCTTTAGGAGCATGTTTTTGTTTAAGATCTTCTAAAGCTGCTCTGAAATTCTAATTTCTTAATTCTGATGTTTGGGCATCTCAGGGCTAGCCTTCACTGATGATTTTCTTTCTTGGGTATGGACCTTGTGTTTTGTTTCTTTGTATGTTTAGAAATTTGGATCATCTTCATTTTTTTTTAAGTGATTCATTGTAGAGAGGCAGGATTCTGTTATGTTCTTCAGAAGAGTACTGTTTTTTTGTTTGGTGCTGTTTTAACTGGTAGCTAACTTGACTGCAGTCAAACTCCAGAATCTATCTTTCTGGCACTGGGGAGCTGCTGTGGTCTTTGCTCCATTCTGTGAGTAGATTGAGGTTTGGGCATGATAGGTTAGGTGTCAGAATGAGATCATACACAGATTCAGCCCCTTCTGTGGCACCCTTCTTTCTGAGTTTCTGTTTCTCACTTTTCAGCTGCTGTGGTCACCGTAATCTCTGACCTCTGCTTCTTTGTGTCTGGGAGTCTGGGAGTTTTGTATTTGAGTTTTAGCAGCCATGGCAGAACTTTGTACACTCACACATACAGAATGGAAATCAAAATTACAGAAATGGCAAACTCTGTGTATTAAAGGATCATGGGGGTTCAGCAGACCACCTCAAATTAGATGCTTTATTAGGAGGACTCCCAGGACTCAGCATATGATCCTCCTACTGGCTGTGGTTTGTGACAGCAAAAGCACAGAACACAGTCAGCAGTGAGAAGAAGCACTGGGGTGGTGTCCAGAGCAGACCAGGCTCAGCCTCGCCCCTGGAGACTTTCTGGTTTAACCTCTCTGTGTAGCCAATGAATGAAGAAACCTAAAGCCTATGTCTTTTCTGCTTCAAAATTAATTGTATGAAAGTATGATGTATGTTTCATGAAAGCTTTCCCATGTGACTTTCTAAGTATGTGTCGTAAGCATGTGGTTCATACACACTGGACAAGCGTGTCATCTTCATGGCTTTAAGGAAGGCAACACTTAGGTTATAGTGACTGTTGCTTGCTCTAGCAAAAACATGTAAACAGATTGAGGAATTTATTAAACTGCTTGTAAAACTTATGAGGAATTGTGATGATTCCTAAATTCCCTTTGAATACTTAGATGTCCAGGTGACTTCAAGATTTTCCTAAACAGGCTTTACCTCTATCATTGGAGCCCCACAGGCAGGCCCCAGGGCTGCGAGTTGTGAGCGTCTCCCACATGGTTTTGACTCACACCTGCTGCAAGAGCATGCTCTGTTGAGCTTAAAAATGGTTTCTTTATTTACTGATATTCTAATTTATAGTGTTGGCACACAAAAATCTAAGAAAATCAATGATTACGTTTGGTAAATAATATATGACAAATATTAATTAGCAAATGAAAAATTTCTAAGTAGTTTTACTAAATTATAACATTATAATCAATTCAGATGTTCTGTGTTCCAGGACCTGTTTTCTATCAGTGCTTACGTTTATGCGCAGAAACCACAACTGGATATTCACAGTTTTGAAGGCACATTTACCAGGGTAAGTTAAATGTGTTGTTCAATACAAATATAGTTACTGTGTAAGTTAAAAGTAGCAAACTTTTATTTGACACAGTAATTCAATGAAGAATAAATTCAAACAGACTTTTCAAACTAGGGGGGAAACCTATGTAATGTTTGAAGTTCTTAAGTGTATCTGTATTAAATATATCTTTGGAATACATTTATTACAGTTTTGGAATTTCCTTTAGCATATTTACTAATAAGATCCTTATCTCCTAAAATAATATGAGTCTGTTAAATGAAATAATTTATTTCCATTTTGACTGTATAATTGGTATACTGTGATATCCACATCATGTCTAGCCTTCTGCTATCTGAGTTGGGTGGGTATTTGTATGTCTGTGAGTCTGTACATGTGTGTTATGTTTCTTTATGCACATATGTATATTTCATGCCACCTACTTTTGTATTATTACAGAGTTTTGTTAAAGCTGGAAAGCACTCTGTCCCTGACTAATAGGGCTTAAGAGACTCAATAACTCTTTATTTTAATGGCTTATAACTGATACTATAAATGCTTTATAGTAAGAGATTTTAGTATATGACTATAGTTTATTTTTAATTGCTGCTGTTATTATTTTAGTTAGGCAAAAAAATTTTTTTAGATACATTCACCTTTGTTTCACTCTTAGTCACTTGCAGGGACTAGCAAGCAGTTGTCATCCCTTGCAGAAGCATTTACAGAGCTTATCTAGTGTGAGAGTTAATGTGCACACTGTGGGAATGTGAAGTGAGGGCACGTGTGAGGTCCTGAGAGTCCTGCGGGCCGCTGGGCCTTTATAACTGCCCATGTCATAGGTGTGGCACGCAAGCATGTGTAAGAGCTTCGTGGAGGGACCGCGAAGGAAGCACGTCCTGGTGATAAGCATCATGGAATGAATTCTGAAACAAACTCGTATCTTTTCTTTTTTAAACAAAAATAGTTATTATGAAAACAGTATGTTCTGTTTTTTTATTGCATTTTAGGTTTGGGGGTACACGTAAAGAATATGCAAGATTGTTGCATAGGTACACACGTGGCAGTGTGATTTGCTGCCTTCCTCTCCTTCACCTCTATCTGGCATTTCTCCCCATGCTCTCTCTCTCCAACTCCCCACCCTCTGCAGTCCCTCCCCTGTTTCCCCCCAATGGACCCCAGTGTGTAGTGCTCCCCTCCCTGTGTCCATGTGATCTCATTGTTCAACACCTGCCTATGAGTGAGAGCATGCGGTGTTTGATTTTCTGCTCTTGTGTCAGTTTGCTGAGAAGGATGGTTTCCAGATTCATCCATGTCCCTACGAAGGACACAAACTCATCGTTTTTGATGGCTGCATAATATTCCATGGTGTATATGTGCCACATTTTTCCTGTTCAGTCTGTCATCAATGGGCATTTGGGTTGGTTCCAGGTCTTTGCTATTGTAAACTATGCTGCAATGAACATTCGTGTGCATGTGTCCTTATAGTACAACGATTTATAATCCTTTGAATATATAGCCAGTAACGGGATTGATAAGTCAAATGGCATTTCTATTTCTAGGTCCTTGAGGAATGGCCACACAGTCTTCCACAATGGTTGAATTAATTTACATTCCCACCAACAGTGTAAAAGTGTTCCTATTTCTCTACATCCTCTCCAGCATCTGTTGTCTCCAGATTTTTTAATGATCACCATTCTAACTGGTGTGAGATGGTATCTCAATGTGGTTTTGATTTGCATTTCTCCAATGACCAGTGATGATGAGCATTTTTTCATATGTTTGTTGGCCTCCTGTATGTCTTCTTTTGTAAAGTATCTGTTCGTATCCTTTGCCCACTTTTGAATGGGCTTGTTTGTTTTTTTCTTGTAGATCTGTTTTAGTTCTTTGTAAATTCTGGATATCAGCTCCTTGTCAGATGGGTAGACTGCAAAAATTTTTTCCCATTCTGTTGGTTGCCGATTCACCCTACTGACTGTTTCTTTTGCCATGCAGAAGCTGTGGAGTTTGATTAGGTCCTGTTTGTCTATTTTGGCTTTTGTTGCCAATGCTTTTGGTGTTTTGGTCATGAAGTCCTTGCCTATGCCTATGTCCTGAATGGTTTTGCCTAGATTTTCTTCTAGGGTTTTTATGGTGTCAGGTCTTATGTTTAAGTCTTTAATCCATCTGGAGTTAATTTTAGTGTCAGGTGTCAGGAAGGGGTCCAGTTTCTGCTTTCTGCACATGACTAGCCAGTTTTCCCAACACCATTTATTAAACAGGGAGTCCTTTCCCCATTGCTTGTTTTTGTCTGGTTTGTAAAAGATTGGATGGTTGTAGATACGTTGTGTTGCCTCCGATGCCTCTGTTCTGTTCCATTCATCTGTATCTCTGTTTTGGTACCAGTACCATGCTGTTTTGATTACTGTAGCCTTGTAGTATAGTTTGAAGTCTGGTAGTATGATGCCTCCTGCTTTGTTCTTTTTGGTTAGAATTGACTTGGCTATGCGGGCTCTCTTTTGGTTCCATATGAAGTTTAAGGTGTTTTTTTTCCAGTTCTGTGAAGAAGGTCATTGGTAGCTTGATGGGGATTGCGTTGAATCTGTAAATTACTTTGGGCAGTATGGCCATTTTCATGATAGTGATTCTTCCTAACCATGAACATGGAATGTTTCTCCATCTGTTTGTGTCCTCTCTTATTTTGTCGAGCAGTTGCTTGTAGTTCTCCTTGAAGAGGTCCTTTACGTTCCTTGTTAGTTGTATTCCTAGTTATTTTATTCTCTTTGTAGCAATTGTGAATGGCAGTTCGTTCTTGATTTGGCTCTCTTTAAGTCTGTTACTGGTGTATAGGAATGCTTGTGATTTCTGCACATTGATTTTGTATCCTGAGACTTTGCTGAAGTTGCTTATCAGTTTTAGGAGATTTTGGGCTGAGACGATGGGGTCTTCTAGATATACAATCACATCATCTGCAAATAGAGACAATTTGATTTCCTCCTTTCCAATTTGAATACCCTTTATTTCTTTTTCTTGCCTGATTGCGCTGGCTAGAACTTCCAGGACTATATTGAGTAGGGGTGGTGAGAGAGGGCATCCTTGTCTAGTGCCAGATTTCAGAGGAAATACTTCCAGTTTTTGCCCATTCAGTATGATATTGGCTGTTGGTTTGTCATAAATAGCTTTTATTATTTTGAGATATGTTCTGTCAATACCTAGTTTATTAGGATTTTTAGCATAAAGTGCTGTTGAATTTGTCAAAGGCCTTCTCTGCATCAATTGAGACAATCATGTGATTTTTGTCTTTGGTTCTGTTTATGTGGTGAATTATGTTTATGGACTTGCGTATGTTGAACCAGCCTTGCATCCCCAAGATGAATCCTACTTGACCATGGTGGATAAGCTTTTTGATGTGCTGTTGCAATTGGCTTGCCAGTATTTTGCGGAAGATTTTTGCGTCTATATTCATCATGGATATTGGCCTGAAGTTTTCTTTTCTTGTTGAGTCTCTGCTGGGTTTTGGTGTCAGGATGATGTTGGTCTCATAAAATGATTTGGGAGGGATTCCCTCTTTTTGTATTTGTTTGGAATAGTTTCAGAAGGAGTGGTACCAGCTCCTCTTTGTATGTCTGGTAGAATTCGGCTGTGAACCCATCTGGACCTGGGCTTTTTTGGGGCGGTAGGCTCTTAATTGCTGCCTCAACTTCAGCCCTTGTTGTTGGTCTATTCAGGATTTTGACTTCTTCCTGTTTTAGGCTTGGGAGCAGGCAGGTATCCAGGAATTTATCCATTTCTTCCAGGTTTACTAGTTTATGTGCATAGAGTTGTTTGTAATAATCTCTGATGATGGTTTGTATTTCTGTGGAATCTGTGGTGATATCCCCTTTATCATTTTTTAAGAGTATGTTCTTATTATAGAGAATATATGAGAATAAATGTTACGGAAAGGTACCCTTAGTAAGATAAATGAAAGGCTATTAATATAACTGCTCTTGAGAATTTGAAGTAGTATTTGCTTTTTTCCTTTTCTTTTCTTTCTCTTTCCTCTGATTTTTATTGCTTATGACTTTGAAAAGTTGAGAATGTTTCCTAGACAGTGTGTGGAAGTTCATGGAAGTCGGGGAGCAAGTGCAGGTTGGCTAAAAAGCTTGAGTTAAAGGGGAGTGTGCAACTCAGTTTGCAGGTATCAGAGGGCTGGAGTGTATAGGACTAGAAAGGTAACTAGGCTTGACCAGAAGAAGCTGTTGGAAGATCTTCAGCTTAGAAGAGAAGTGATAAATGCAGATGTTTTTAAAAGATTCATTTTCAGAGAGAGATCCAAGATGGCTGATCATTAGCAGCTCAGGGTTGTAGCTCCCAGTGAAGGTGCAGAGAACGAGAGGACGCCACAATTTCAGATGAACTTTTGTTGCTCACACACCAGGAGATTCCCAGCGGAGGAGCCCCATGGGTCGCCAGCGTGACTCTTGTGGCTGGCGAGGTAGTTTTGCTGCTGCCTTGGTGTGGCGGTTCTTGGTGCAGAGTCAGAAAAGCACCATCAATCTTAACGCCAGTGTTTTAGCCGGTGCAGTGGGTTGCTCAGATTCCGGCGCTGGGAATCAACAAGTTGGACATCCACTCAGAAACCCAATTACAAAGACGGTAATTATGAAGACCACAGATGGATAAATCTACAACGAAGGGAAGAAAACAGCCTAAAAAGGCTGAGAATAGCCAAAATAAGAACACCTCTCCCTTTACAGGGGCTCATAGTTCTTCATCAGCAACAAACAAGGCCTGATGGAGAATGAGTATGTTCCACTAACAGAAGCAGGCTTCAAAAGGGGGATGATAAGAAACCTTCTGTGAGTTAAAAGAACTTTTTCTAACCCAATGCAAAGAAACTAAGATCTTTGAAAAAAGGTTTGAATAAATGCTAATGAGAATAGACAATTTGGAGAGGAATATAAGTGAATTAATGGAGCTGAAAAACACAGCACGAGAACTTCGTGAAGTATGCACAAGTTTTAACAGCCAAATTGATCAAGCAGAAGAAAGGATATCAG